CTCTAGAGGCATTACATGCTAGCACATACTGTGTATGACTCTATTTGAGTACACAGGATGAATAAAAGAAACACAAGCGAATTGAATCAGCTAACATACAGAAAGAACACACTTGATTAAGAGCTGTCACCCCTTTGTCTGTCCGCCCAGCCACCACAGCACAAGCATCTAATGGTAATTTCTTTTCTTTTAACAACTGTGCTTTCTTTTCATCAATAAATTTCCCAAGAGATCGTTCAATCAATCTGCATAGAGCAAACATTGTAAGAAAAGATTCTTTCTATTTTTATTTCAAAAGAATCTGATTCTGAGGGAATATTGCACATGATGAAAAGTGACCCTCAACCCTGTAGAGACTCATTCTATTCAAACTCTGAATTAAACTCCCTCATTCCAGTTGACCTCATGAAAGCAACCTCCAGATTCTCACCATTATTATTTACAAGCAAGCCTTGCATAAAAGTAGAGAAGTAGGAAGACAAGAAAATAGTTCCAATTACCAGCATCAGTTGGTGATGGTATATGCCCTTGTAGCATCACATGTTCCATTACGAATGTGTGTAAAATCTCACTAAAGAGGAACCTATTTTCAAATAATTTAAAAAACTTCTAGAAGTAAATCTTGATACGTCTGTTTTGACAAGCAAGATCTAACTGTTGATCCCATTAGGAAGCAATTTCCATGTAATGCAGACGATAACACATAAAAAACAACACAAACCAGAGTTGAACAATCTGAACCCACCTGAGTAAAAGAAATGCCATAGAATCCGTGACCTTTGAATTTTCTAACCTTACTCTTTCTTTAATAAGTGAATACAGTAAGCAAATCCAAAAGGGCAACTACAGATTACAATAACTGGGTGTGGTCAATGACATGTTAGTTTTAGAGATGACAGTCATGAAACTGACGCATAGTAGTTATGTTAAAGAAAACGAATTTAGCAGCTTGTACATCCATGGGAGGGCAGAGCATATTGAGAAAGCAACCAATCACAAAAGACACTGCCACCAGAATGACATGCACTAGAACAAGTACACTAAATATGAAAATATATAAATCGGGAGTCTGAGAGGACATTACCCTTGAACAGTGTTCAGACCGGGCTGTTTCTGCCAACCATCAAAAGAGTTCCCATGGTACGAGAGCACTATTCTGAATGTCACTCTTGCCCATCTACCAGTTCTACCCTGACCTGGAACTCTCACCAGTTCAAGTTTATCACAGTGTTTTACACCATCAGCGCCATGCTGTTCGTCAAATGGCTGTACAATGAACTTCGATTAACGAAACTAACTAAATATCTAAGCAAAAAATAGTCCTCGTGTATTTAAAACTAGCAAAAAACGTTTTGTTCTCACCTCTTTCCCAAACAAATCAGAAAGTGATCGGCAGCCATTCACCACATCCAAATAAAAATCATTCACTTTCTGCCACGGCCTTGAATACATAAACTGGTAACTTTCCCTGCAACAATGAATAACCTATCTCGTTATTAAGCTCAAGACATGTGGTGCGCCTATTATTAGTAATACTTTAAATTGTCAGTCAGTTTTCAGTTAATGCAATACCAACAGCAACAACAACAACAATAACCAGACCACTTAATGCAAAACATCAATCGAACATATGTAGAAGACTAAACACAATGTTTACCGAATCAAAAACCAGAGGAAGCGGATGTCGTGGAAAGGAACAGAGAGGAGTTCTGCCGAAATTAAGGTACCTGGCAGTCCATCTAGAGAGGCTGCAAGCATCTGTGTGTTGGTAATGAACGTAATCCTTAGCAGGCGATGAAGCGCTATCCATCATATTTCTCAGCAGACCCGACACCGCCGCCGCCGGCTGCTTTATCATTTACTTCGACCTTCTCCGCCGGCTATGTTTTGTTTAATCTCGTTTAGGTATGTTTGGGTCGTTAAAAGGGAAAGAGAGCGAACATAATTTATCTTGTTTGGATGAATTTTGTAGGAGGGGAGATGAAGGAAAATAGTTAACATTGTTTGGTTAGAAGATGGAAGGGAAGGGAAAATAATGTTAGAATGACAAATATATCCTTAATGATGTAAAGAACAAAAAAAATAAAATAATTCACAGTAAGATCAAAAGAGTAATTTGTTGTCAAAATTTTTCCTCCCCTCCAAATTCCCTCACTTTTGGAGGGGAGCACATTTTCCCTTGGAGGAGGGAATTGAAGGGAAAATTTAAACTCCTCCCCCTTACAAAAAGTTGAACCAAATAAGGGGAAATAAAATTTTCCTTCCCCTCCCTTCCCTTCCCCTCCGTTTCCCCCGAACCAAACATAGGCTTAATAAAAGGGAGGTGAGGGGAAAGATGTGATATAAAATATTTTACCTTGTTTTGAGGAATTTGTAAGAGTGAGTGGGGGAAATGGTAAACCTTATTTGGTTTTTTTTTCAAATTAAAAAAACAATAAAAAATATTGTAAAAATGACAGTTATCTATCAATATATAAAGAATGAATGATATTTATTTGAAAAAAGATCAAGAAAATCAGCAAAAAAAAAAAACATTTCCCGCCTAAAGTCAATATAATGAAACTAAAGATTTTTGGCAAAAAGTTGAATTATGACCTCCATCCAATCAATTTTGAAAAATTTGAAAAAAAAAATAAATTAAAAAATCTAAATAAAAAGATTACATGAAGATTTTTTGGAGATTCCATATTATCTAACTTTCATACAATAGGAATGGGACACTTGTCCTATTTTCATTGGTCCACTATAAATTCTATATGATAAGATAAGTATAACTCAAATTATTGATATTATTTTATTTTAAAAAATAAAATAAAAAATACCAAAATTCGTATTTTTTCATACTCTATAAATAGAGACCACTCTTGATATGTTTTGGAACACAGTTGAAATTATTATGTTGGGTTAGGTTGTAGATAAAATAATACCAAACAATGTATTGTAGATAATATTTATTAAATAAATAAATAAAAATAAAATAAATATTATACTATCTTTATTAGGTCACCAACTAAAAAATAATAAAAGAATAAAAAAATAGCAAAATTTGCGACTCAGGTCAATTGTGACCCTAGATCGCAACTTAGCCACAAGGAGGGAGAAAGAAATGAGGTGAGTGAAATGGGGCAAGTGTCCCATTCTTATTGGTCTATAAAATTTTTCTATAATAATATAATTGTAACTCAAATTATTGATATTAATTTGTATGAAAAAAAAATAATTACAAATTTATTTTTTATTCTCTATAAATAGAGATCACTCTTGATATATTTTGGAACATAATTGCAATTTCTATCTTTTCACTCTTTTTTCTTAATCGTAATTTATCAATTTTATCATATATTTTTTATTTTATCATATCACAACTAAAACAATAATAAAAAAATTATTGTAGATAATATTTAATAAATATATAAATAAATATTATGTTGGGTTGAGTTAGGTTGGGTTTGGGATAAAAGACTATTCTACTATGCTTTTCCAGATATGGGTAGTATTAATTCAAGTGCGAACCGTCTGGTTTTGGATGAACTAAACTATGACCGTAAGGCTCTAGCTATTGAGCATGATGCATTGCTGACACATATGACCGATGAACAGAAGGGTGTTTATTCTAAAATAATGACATATGTTCATTCCGGCAGGGGCGGCGTGTTTTTTGTGTATGGTTATGGTGGAACTGGAAAGACATACTTGTGGAGGACTTTAGCTACTCGGCTAAGATTGCACGGTCGAATTGTGTTTGTGTTGCATCAAGTGGAATAGCATCTCTCATGTTGCCGGGCGGATGAACTGCACAATATTCTCGATTTGAAATTCCGATTAATGTGCATGAAAATTCATCATGTGAGATCAATCAGGCTAGCCCCCTTGCCGAGTTGATTATTCGCTCTTCATTGATCATATGGGATGAGGCCCCAATGATGCATAAGCATTGTTTTGAAGCTGTTCAAGCA